ATAGTGCCGTAGTGTATGAGGAAAAAAGAAAAGATGAAGGCTATCACCAAAAATTCACTGGACCATTTCTTCAAGAAGGTGGAGAAACGCGCCCTTTCAGCTCTGAAGTATGAGCTTATATTATTGTAAGGTTTCATCATAACCCTACTGCTTATGTAAGGTAAGAACTGGGCTGTACATGTTTTTTATGTTTGTTTGGATTTATAAACAAAGCAGACTTAAGAATAGCTTGGAACATAACCTGTTCATAAACAGGAATATCTATACATTTTCTATTGACATATACTAAACTAGGAATCAAATACTTCGGCCACTAATGAGAAGGAAGGACTCACTGTAGAAGAGCCTAGTGCTGGGAATGATTGAGGGCAAAAGAAGAAGGGGACGGCAGAGATGAGGTGGCTGGAGTCTCTGAAGCAGTTGGTGTGTTTTTAAATGGACCCCGGGGGGGGGGATGGTAGAGGGCAGGAAGGCCTGGAGGGATGTTGTCCATGGGGTCACAATGGGTTGGACACAACTTCCGACTAACAAAAAACAAAAAGGAAAGGAAGGTATTTTTGAGTCTGATCTTCACAAATGGCGGCCCCAGAAAGATGAATTTACCAATGAAAATAAAAACAGGCACATGCTGTTTTAATTATGAATACAGGTAGTCTTCAACTTATGACAGCAATTGAACTCAACATCTTAGTTGCTAATTGAGACATTTGTTAAATGAAATTTACCCCATTTTATTTCAGTTCTTTCCACAGTTGTTAAGTGAATTGCTGCAGTTAAGTTAGGAACACCGTTGTTAAGTGAATCTGGCTTCCCAAGGTTGCAAAGGGGGATCATGTGACCCCAGAATACTGCAACTGTCATAAATATGAGTCACTTGCCAAGCATCTGAATTTTGATCACAACCATGGGGATGCTGCAAGGTTATAAGTGTGAAAAATGGTCAAGGTATTTTCATCTTAAGATTCTGAATGCTATTGCACATTGTGAGGAAAACAAATTCTTATGAGTGGATCTTGTTAGCAAAATGAAACATAGAAAGTTGGTTCTCAATAAGTCTTACCAACATTTCTATAGCAGAATAACTTACATGTTTCTTTCATTAAGACAGCATTTATTGAAGAATGTAGAGTGAAGAATTATGCTGTCGAATTAGACTGCAAATAGGCAGTCATTTAACAGATGCTGCCTCCCCAATAGAAGGAGCTCCCTGTTGCAGCTGTTCAAGAAAAAACTTTACTATGTTTATTCCACTATAGCAGGCAGGAAGACATAAATTCAACTGATACTTCCCACAATTTAAACTTTCCCTCTTTTGCAGAGTCCTCTTACAATTGTTGTTTTTAACAGATGCAGTAATGCCTTGTGACCACATCGCTTAAAGATGGAAATTTTGGTCCCAATTGTTGTCATAGATGGAGGACTACCTATAATAAATATAGTACATAATACCTATGTTATTATTTCAGATAGCTCTTATTGGACTTTTGCTGATTAATATGGAGGGATAAATATTTAGAGATTGGGAATAAGGTGAGATATGGACTGAAAAAGTGTTTAGCTGTATTTTAAAAGTGATAAGTCTTTAATGTTGATTATAGATGTTGGGGACTAGAAGAAGAAAATTTGTTTTTCTATCTTCTGCAGTTTTAATTTTTTTAAACATATTTCTGTACAATATACTTTGTATAATACAATCTTCAATAAAATTACTGGGGGGAAAGCCAATAATAAAGCCTAAAATTCTGTATGATACAAACACACACAGGACTTGCCAGTTCTGTACCATGACAATCCTAATACCAGTTTAGAAATAACAAAAAACAGGGTTATTTTCTTCTACAGAACATGGCTGAATACCATTCCCTCGCTCTTCTCTCCCTCTGTCTAAACAGATGTAACTTTCTCCAGAAACTTTCTTTAAAATTTCTTGGAAACTGAACTAGGAGAAATTCAACCTAGAAATAAGGAGAAATTTTCTGACAGTGAGAACAATCAACCCATGGAAGAGGAGTTGCCTTCAAAAGTTGTAGGAGTTTCATCACTGGAAGGTTTCAAGAAGAGACTGGCTCGCCATCTGTCAGAAATGGTGTAGGGTCTCCTCCTTGGGTAGGGTTTGGACTAGGTGACCTACAAGATCCCTTCCAATTATGTTCATCTGCTAAAATAGAATGTTGGATATGGATTTAAAGTAGAAATAAAGTAATTATATTAGGAGGAGCCTGGTTGTGAGGTAAAATTTCTGCAGCATCCCCCAGTTTGAGCTTTGTCTTTAATTTGCAGCTGGTTTTCCTTCTATATTTCCTTTTTTTTTCCACCATTGTTTCCTCTGTCGCAACTTGCCACTCGGTGTTTCCAATTATTCTTAAGCACCCAGAGCTGAGAGTTGGAGAAGGGCAGCTGTGTATATTGAACTAAAGAAATAAAAACTGACAGAAATCTCTTATTTTCCTGGCAGGAAAAATTTCCCTCCCTCAGGAGGCACCACCGCTTTTCTCTGACAGGCAACCAACGGGAAGTCTCTTTACTGCTACTCTCATGCCCGTTATCCCTGCCTCAGCCTCCCCTCAAAGTGGACTCCTCTTTCTCGCCCTTCCAGCATCCCTGTCATTTTGCGCAGAATCCACCAGGGCTGCAAAAGGAACGTCAGGCGCTTCCCCATTGGTCCACAGGAAAGCGAACGTCACAGCTGGCTTTTCAGAGGAGGCGTGGCATCACAAACGCTTGCCTCTCTAGGATCTTGCACTCGCCCTACTTAACCCCTGGGGCTCCGCAGGGAGGCGGAGAGATTGCGGGAGAGTCTGGTGGGGCGTGATCCAGACGTGCCCCGGGTGAGAAGTGGGGGCTCTTCCCGTGCAAAGGGAGGCGGAGGAGGGAGAGATCCGCGTCCGGCCTCCTTCGGCTTCAACCCCGGGTCTCATACTCCTCAGCCGTCCTCTCCATGCGGGGGGATGCCAGAAAGGCGGCAGGGATCCCTTCTCTTACCTGGGTCGGGGAAAAGCCCGAGTGTGGGGAGGGGAGAGTCGGCCTTGCGGAGGCTCAGCAGGAAAGGAGAGAAGCCGGGAGAAGAGGAGGAGGCAGGATTCGCACCTGGCTCCCCGAGGGCTCGATCCTGTCTCCTGTGGGGGAGAGAAGCGGGATGGCCTCTCCAGCTGCCTCATTCCCGACCCTGCTGCGGGAGGGCGGGGGGAACCTCGGCCTTGTGCTGGGATGACCAGCTTGGGGCTTTGAGCAGGTTGTGTGAATCTGCTTGCGTGTCAAGAGGGAGACACCCTGAAGAAGGGAAACCGGGCATCCTCAATCAAGAGGGAGACACCCTGAAGAAGGGAAACCGGGCATCCTCAACCAGGGTCATTTTCTGGCATTTCATTTAATGTGTACAAGTAGTCCTCAACTTATAACAGTTTATTTAGTGACCATTCAAATCACAACGGCATTGAAAAAAAAGAGTTATGACCGTGACTTAACGACTGCTTTTCACACTTTACAACCATGGCAGCATCTCCATGGTCACCTGATCAAAATTCAGATTCTTGGCAACTGACTCATTTGCAATTGTTGCAGTGTCCCAGGATCATATGATCAGCTTTTTGCGACCTTCTGACAAGCAAAATCAATGGGGAATCCAGATTCACTTAAGGGCCATGCTACTAACTTAACAAATGCAGTGAGTCACTTAACAACTCCGGCAAAAAAAGTTGTAAAATGGGGGAAACTGGCTTAAATGTTTCACTTAACATCATAAATTTTGGGTTCAATTGAGCTTCCATGGTTTATTCACCTGTTTTGGGTTTGGCAGGTTGTGTGAATATTCCTTGGAGGTAAATATAGATTGGAAATCCTTCCTTATAAGAAAAAATAGTGTACCTCACTCACACAAATACACACATACACGCACAAAAAAGGACCTATCTGCTCAACACCACTGCAATTTTATTCCAGTTTAGAAAAAATACTTCCTTCTGTGGGGATATAATATTGTTCAATTCTTGGGTTTTTTTTTCCCCATCTCAAATACAGAAACTGGAAACCATTTGAACTTCTTGACATGTAAAAATATCTGTTGGGAAAAGAGTGCTGAATGGCCTTCTGTGGTTATTCCTGTGGCTATAGGATCGGTCCTATGAATGAAAAGGCATTTGGAGATCTTCAAGATTCCTTGGACCCATTTGGAGTTTTGTTACAGGATAGAGAAAACATGGAGACACAAACTTTAGCAAGTGAGAGAGTTGGAAAAAGCCTTTTATCTGTTCAGCCTGGGTGCTGTGAGGAGGTCTGGGCAAGAACTGGGCAGAAGATCATGGAGGAAGAAACCATCATGCATTCAGAAGTTCAGCCCTGGAACCTCAGGAGCCTCCAATACCAGGAAGCTGAGGGTCCCCGAGGACTTTGCAGCCGACTCCACGACTTTTGTAGGCGATGGCTGAGACCAGAAAGACACACTAAAGCACAGATGATGGACCTGGTGGTTCTGGAACAGCTTATGGCTCTTCTTTCCCCAGAGATGGAGAGCTGGGTGCGGGAGTGCGGAGCAGAGACCTCTTCCCAGGCAGTGGCCCTGGCAGAAGCTTTCCTCTTGAGTCAGGCGGAGGAGCAGAAGGAGCAGGTCAAGGTGAGAGACCTTTATCCTTAGGACTCCAAAAGTGAATAAAGAATGTGTTTGTGTTCTCTTTTCTTCCAGATTTCTCTCACACTCAAAATGTGGCTATATCACACTAGGACATCATTCATTATCCATCATAATAGATAAATTACCAATAAAGGAGAATATTTGTAACTCAGGGTTGAAATGAGGGGATTATTGGTACTTTCTGAGCTTGCTTGTTTTCTTGCAGATGTTTCATTACACAGATACCATCAATTGAGGACAGAGGTTCCTTTCTTTACTGCCTCCTTGTTGACACTGGGGACTTTGAACTTGTGTTCAGAGAACAGTAATCGACTTCATGTTGTACGATGTCCATTAATTCTGCTTTTTTCCCCCTCTTCCCTCCTACTTCAAGTCCTTTGCTCTGGAGATCAGAGATCCTGAGGGAAGGAGGAATCTATCAAATCCCTCTCAGGAGCTGCTTTGCGGGAGGATATCTCAGGAAGATCCAAGTCAGGACATCTCAGGAGGTAATCCAAGGTCCTCCTATTACCCAGAGAGATCTCAGCTGCCTCATGTTTATGTTTCATCTATCATATAGAACAGGGGTCTCAAACACAATTTACCTGGGGGGCGCTGGAGGCAGAGTCTGAGTGAGGCTGGGCCGCACATAGAAGTTTTTAGCTAGCTAGCGACACATGGAGAACGCACTAATATTATACTTCAATATCACGGTGGGGGCCACAGGATATTGTCCTGCGGGCTGCAATTGGCCCGCGGGCCGCGAGAATGAGACCTCTGATATAGAAGATATCATCCTTTTCCTTTAATTATGTACTGTATTTTAAACTTCTGTATTCTTTACAGGGAAGACTCAAATGAAGTTTTCTGCTCTTTATGATGGAGATGAAACAACGGTTGAACTTCCAACTCAAGTAAGAGGGGGAAAATAATTTATTAGATTTATATATTTCCTTTCCTTCAGGAAGTGAATCTGTTGTACAAAGCACTTTCTCCTTACAATTGCCCCTTTTGTTGGGCTAGAACTAGATTATCTGTGTTTTCCTGAGCAACGTGGAAAGGAGAATAGAAGATTCAAGTTGCTATCAGTCAGCTTAGTTTTCTTTGAAGTTGTTTGTTTGGGTCCCGGGGTTCGTATTTTCTACTCTTAAATTATCACTAGGAAATAGTTTTAAAGGCTAGCTCTTAAATCTCACTTATCTAGTTTAACCTTTGAGAGAAAGAGAGGGAGGGAAGGGGGAGAGAGAGAGATGCGCAAAAGAAAGTATACCTTCTTTGAATTCTATAGTTGTACATATCAGGACATAATAAAAAACCATCGGGTCCTTATCAGTTCTTAAAAGCAGATAAATACAATCTCAGATGAACAACAGCACATCATATGATGTCATCATTTGTTTTAGAAAAAGAAAGCCCAAATGGAGTGTGTGAAAAAAAAATAAGAACAATCTTATTGCTTTCATAAGATAGGAAATCATCAGCGCGTGACTATCTCTATAATCCTAAATCAAAGTTTTAGGAATTTGCTGGTCTCCATTGTTGCGGTATGTGTTCACACAAAGCCAAAGAGTAAAGACATTGGCAGTTATCTTAGAAGAGCAGTTTTTGCTGCCCATCAATCTGGGAAGGGTTATAACAATTTAAAGTCCATCATTCTAAAGTGAGGGAGATTATGGAAAACATTCAAGACAATTGCCAATCTCCCCAGGAGTGGACATCCCAGCAAATTCACCCCAAAGTTGGACTCTGCAATGCTCAAAGAAATTGCAAAAAATCCAAGAGTTACATCTCAGACTCCACAGGCCTCTGTTAGCATCTTAAATGTTAAAGTTGATGACAATACAATTAGAAAAAGACTGAACAAGTATGGTTTGTTTGGAAAGGTTACCTGGATAAATTGTCTTCTCTCTAAAAAGAATATGGCATCACTGCTTAGGTTTGAAATGTTGTGTTCTGACCAAGGCTTCCTTAGACCGTAATTAAGCACACGTGTAGTCCAAACAACTCTCTCGAGATAAGCACTCACCTTTATCTCCTTTGAATTGCTGCCAACAACTAAAGTGCCAAATTAACTGTAAAAAGCCAAACGGAATACCAAGTCCACACAGGGATTCAAGGTTTAATCCGAACAGAGTGAACGACTTTGCTTCCTGCAAAGATTTCTCTACCTTTGCACTTCCTTTATACCTTATGGGAGGGGCAATCACCTCCAAGCCTTACTCCTGAGTCACCCCTTTTGTCTTAGCTGCTCGTGCCTTCTGGCAGCTGTGCGCACATGCGCATTGGGAAAAAGCTCCCCTTGTTCCTCTGCCTTGCTGCTGCCAGATTCTGGAGGCTCCGGAGTCAGCACACAACTCCCTGATAGTCCTGGGCCCGTCTCTGTATCGGACACAGGACCCTCATCCGAGTCCTCCCCAGAATCCTGGATTGGTCCCTGTTCTTCCCCACTGTCTAATTCTGCTACTGTCTGCACAGGCTGCTGGTGAACCACAACATGTTGCACCTGAACAAATCACAAGGGCACTGTCCTTTGGACAGAGAAGTCCAAAATTGGCTATAACTAAACACAGCATATAAACTCAAACATCTCATACCAAGCGTCAAGCATGGTGGTGGATTGATGATGATTTGGGCTTGTTTTGCAGCCTTGCAGTCACCGAGTTGCCTCTGTATACCAAAGTATTCTAGAATCAAATGGGGAGCCATCTATTTGACAGCTAAAGCATGGTTGACATTGAGTCATGCAAGAGGACAATGATCCCAAGTCCACCAGAAAATCTACAACAGAATCAAGATGTTGCAATGGCCCAGTTAAAGTCCAGACTTCAACAGAAACTCAAAAGAGAACTGTGCATAAATAAATGCCCACAAACCTCAATGAACTGTAGCAGTATTGTAAAGAAGAGTGGGCCAAAATTTTCCCTCAATGATGTGAGAGACTGTTAAAGCCATAAGATTACCTCAAGTTATTGCCGCTAAAGATGATTCTACACACTATTGAATTGTAGGGTGTACTTATTCACATACAACTTCTTTTTGTACAATAAGTTATGGCATGGTGTAATATGTCATGTGCTGTTGTTCATCTGAGATTGTATTTAACCATCTTTAAGAACTGCTAAGGACCAGATGATTTTTATTATGTTCTGATAGGTAAAACCATAGAACACAAAGGGGGTGTGTTTTCTTTTTCATGTTAAGATGATAGATAGATAGATAGATAGATAGATAGATAGATAGATAGATAGATAGATAGATAGATAAATAATTAAAGTTGGAAGGGACCTTGTAGGTCATCTAGTCCAATCCCTTGCCTAAGCAGGAGACCCTACACCATTTCTGACAAATGGCGGTCCAATCTCTTCTTGAAAATCTCAAGTGATGGCGCTTCCACAACTTCCAAGGGCAAGCTGTTCCTTTGGTTGATTGTTCTCACTGTCAGAAAGTTTCTCCTTATTTCCAGGTTAAATCTCTCCTTGTTCAGTTTCTATCCATTATTCCTACAGACAAGGAATATTTTCTTTAGAAAATAGCTTGACCCCTTCCTCCTCTCTGTGGCAGCCCCTCAAATATTGGAAGACTGCTATCATGTCTCCCTGGTCCTTCTCTTCAGTATACTAGCCATGTCTAGTTCCTGTAACCGTTCTTCATATAATTTAATCTAATCATCCTGGTTGCTCTGTACTTTTTCTAGAGTCTCAACATCTTTTTTATAATGTGGTGACCAAAACTGGATGCTTTATAGAGTGATATTAGTCTCTCACCTGATCTTGATTGTATCCCTCTGTTAATGCAACTTAGGATTGCATTAGTTTTTTGACTGCTGGTGCACACTGCTGGCTCATATTTAGCTGATTGTCCACTAAGACTCCAGATGGATGGATAGATTGATTATGACAGACAGACAGATAGATACTAGGCAATAGACTGGCTTTAAAAGTCCTGCAGAACTTATATTATGTTGATTAAAAAGTTATTATCTATGCTTTAGGAATTTCTACAGAATAAGGCAGATTTTTGTTTTGTTTTTGTTCTTGTTCAGGAGGGTCCAGTGTCTTATGAAGAGGTGGCTGTGTATTTCTCCGAGGAGGAGTGGTCTCAGCTGGATGCTCACCAAAAAGTTCTGCATTGGGAAGTCATGCTGGAAAATCAAAGGAATGTGGCCTCTCTATGTATGGATTTGCTATTCCTCTATCATCGAGTTTGGGAATACATTTTGTAGTCTGATGTCATCAACTATTTTTTTAAATTAAAACTCTCCAACCATATATGATCTCTTGTGAGGGAGAAGGAAAAAGGTCTGTTCTTCTGCTCCGAGGAAGGAAAAAAGTCATTGGCTTCTTGCTTAGAAGAATTCTGTATCATTTCTAATCTGATTTTTTTTTTTCATTTCTGTTTCAGCATATCAGTAAGAAACCCTTCAGCATCAGTAAAAAATCTAACCCTTCTTACATGTCAATAAAAAACTAACCCTTGGGTTTAGTAGCTGCTCTATTCTATCACATGAAAAGCGGGCAGTAAACAAATCTAAGCATAAAAATCACACCTATATTACCTGTACTATATAATATGTACAGCGGTCCTTCACTGTTTCCAGGACAGTCCTGCAGGCCAGATCTAAGCATCCCATGGGGCTAGATTTGGCCCCCGGACCTTGAGTTTGACACCCTTGCTTTAGGCTTTTGGTGTCTAAGGAGATTATCAGTCATCCAGGCCATGGTTGTCCCAAAGGTGCTTTTTCAAGAGACAACTGGACTTTCTTTGTTTTTCTTTAATGACCTTTCACTTCTCATCCGAGAAGCTTCTTCAGTTCTGACTGAAGGATTTATAGACCTTGCACTTGCCTGGTGATTAGCATTCTTTCTTGAAGTCATTGAGGCCATTTGGAGCTTTATCTGGGCCTCTGGTCACCTGAATGGTGCGAATGGGTGTTCTTTTTGGAACTCCTGTGTTGTAAACAGGAGATGGTATTTAGGCTTTTGGGTTAATAACTTCTTTCTGTTCCAGTCTATCCTGAGCCTTGAGATTAAGGGTGAATGGGCCAGTTTTCCGTTGCAAATTTGCTGTTTAGAGTTAATTGAATAACTCCTGCAAGGATTTGATTTCGCTAAGAGACAAATGAATAGTAGTAGTTCAACAGTAGTAGCAAGGTAGTTTTTATAAGTCCTTGCTGGAATTGGCTACTTTCCAATAAATTTTAGGTTTTTTCCTAACACGTAGATGTTTCCTGTGTCTTTCTTCACTCAAAATTATCTCAAGGTGAGATTTGAATATGTACAGATAATTAGAAAATAAGAATAAAATAAAACAGAACAGCTTGTCTCTGGAAGCTGTGGGAGCTCCATCATTCTGACAATAAGAGATTGGATAGCCATTTGTCTGGAATGGTGTAAGATGTCCCGAAACAGGCAGGAGGTTGGATTATAGCTTGATATTTTTCTCTAAGCTTGCTTTCATTGTCATTTCTCTTTTCCTTTGAAGGTAATGATGGGCAGGAGAGTAAAGATTCTGGAGAACCATTCCCAATGATGAGCTCTGGAGACGGAATGCAGAAGAACCAACCGGTGCAAACACAACTAGGAAGCCATGAGCAAAAACTGTTAAATAATTGGAATCAGGGAAGCTTATCTTCTATTGAGGCTCTGATGAAAGACTTTCTTGCCCACGAAGGGAAAACAGAGAAGAAACATTTTGAGAAACGTGTGCGGCAATTAAAAAATAAATCAGATGTAAATGAACACTATCCAATGCAAACCAAAGGACAAGCTCATGTGCAAAGAGACAATGGGAAAAAATTCAGTTGCACTTGGTCTTTTGGTCATAAAAAGGGATCCGGTACATCTAAAAAAAAATTTCACCCAGGAGAGAAGCCATATAAATGCGTGGACTGTGGAAAAAGCTTCTGTGAAAATGGTTCTCTTACTATTCATAAAAGGATCCACACAGGAGAGAAGCCATATAAATGTTTGGAGTGTGGGAAGAGTTTCAGGAGAAGCAGTCAATTTACTTCCCATAAATGGATCCACACAGGGGAGAAGCCGTATAAATGCAGTGTATGTGGAAAGGGCTTCTGTGAAAATGCATCCCTTCTGAAACATGAAAGGATCCACACAGGGGAAAAGCCATATAAATGCAGAGAGTGTGGAAAGACCTTCATTCAGAGCAGTCATCTTACTTCCCATAAAAGGATTCACACGGGGGAGAAGCCATATAAATGTAGAGTATGTGGAATGAATTTCAGCAGATGTGGATCCCTTACTTTCCATAAAAGGATCCACACAGGGGAGAAGCCATATAAATGTGTGGAGTGTGGGAAAAACTTTATTAAAAGGAGTGTACTGACTTCCCATAAAAGGATTCACACAGGAGAGAAGCCATATAAATGTTTGGAGTGTGGAAAGGCCTTCAGTCAACAGGGTAATCTTGCCTCCCATGAAAGGATACACAGTGGGGAGAGGCCTTACAAATGCCGAGAGTGTGGAAAGACCTTCTCTGAAAACGCATCGCTTACAAAGCATAAAAGGACCCACACAGGGGAAAAACCATATAATTGTTTGGAGTGTGGGAAAGGTTTTGGTACTAGTAGTAATCTTAATTCCCATAAAAGAATCCATGCAGGGGAAAAGCCATATAAATGCATGGAGTGTGGAAAGACTTTCACTAATAGCAGCCAACTTACTTCCCATAAGTGGATCCACACAGGGGAGAAGCCATATAAATGTGCCAAGTGTGGAAAGGCCTTCAGTCAACAGGGCAATCTTACCTCCCATGAAAGGATGCACAGTGGAGAGAGGCCTTTTAAATGCCCAGAGTGTGGAAAGAGCTTTTTCGAGAATGCATCCCTTACAAAACATATAAGGATCCACACTGGGGAAAAACCGTATCACTGCTTAGAGTGCGGAAAGAGTTTTACTACCAAAAGTAATCTTAATTCCCATAAAAGAATCCATGCAGGGGAGAAGCCATATAAATGCATGGAATGTGGGAAGACTTTTACTCAAAGCAGTAATCTTACTTCTCATAAAAGAATCCATATAGGCGATAAACCTTATAAATGCATGGAATGTGGAAAGGGCTTCTGTGAAAAGGCACCTCTTATGAGACACAAAAGGATCCATTTGGAAGAGAAGTCATATAAATGCATGGAGTGTGGAAAGTGCTTCTGTCAAAAGTCATCTCTTATGAGACACAAAAAGATCCATACAGAGGACAAGGGTGCAGAGTGTGGAAAAAGTTTCAGGACAAGGGATGGCCTAATTTCCCATACACAGATCCATCTGGGTGAGAGTTTATGGCAATGTTTGATTCAATTGATTAAATCTGTGCATTTCCCATTTGTGTATGCTGAACTAATGAAGGGACATTTTTTTTAAGCCTGACCCTCACAGCTGATAGCACCAGATGAATTTACCAAAGGGAAAAAAGCATGGGCATGTCTGTTCTAATTGTTACCTTTTAAATAATTATTATGCTTGAAAATATCCAACCCTCTTTATGGTGGTCCTTGACTGTATAAAAATTGATTTCTTAATTATGAATCATTATGAAATGATTTTCAAAAGTACAATTTGAAAATGGCTATTGCTATTGTACATCAGTACATTTTTTTTTTCTTAAGTTTACGTTTATCCCAATTTCCAGTTCATGGTTCTTAGAGCAGTGGTGGCTAACCTTTTTGGGCTCCTGTGTCAAAAATTGTGCGTGCACTAGTGGGCACACACTCATGTTCCAGCACCCAGAATGCAATGCACCTCACCCACGCTCCCTGTGCATGTGCGTGCAATCCCCCCTACGCCACCCCCTTACCTTCACTGCTCCTCACGGCTGGTTTGAAGCCTTTTTTGGCCTCTGGGAGGCCAAAAAAAGCCTTAAACCAGCCGAAAAATCAGCTATGAGGTGCATGCATGCGCAATGAGGTAAGTTTGCCTGCGGCTCATGTGTCAGCACAAATGGCTTTGCGTGCCACTTGTGGCACACGAGCCATAGGTTCGCCATCACGGTCTTAGAGGACCGTGAACCACGGTCTTAGACCACTTTTAACAAGTGCTGCTTTCTCAAACAGCAGAAGGAACTGCGTTTCTTGGATGCATCTCTTCCAGACAAAGCTCGATTAGTCTTTCTTCCACTGTAGCAGACACGCAGGTGGAAATTCATCTGATCCACAGACATTTCCCATGTTTTAAACTTTCCTTTTTCATAATCTTACAATTCTTTCTTTTTTTGTTTTTCTTTTTCTCCCAAGTTAGGAATATTCAAGAGGATGAGAATGAAAACAACTCCAGTGTCCTGACATTACAAATGATCAAGCAAGAAGGAAGATCTTTGGAAATTTGTGAGGACCAAAATAAAACAGCATGAAATTTAAAAAAATACTTCAGGAAATTACTTCTGTCTTCCTGACCAAACACACAGAAATGAGAATGGGAACTTCCTCCTGGATGTGAAGATAAAAGAAAACTACTACAACTTGCTTCTGCTGTGAAGAACTGAGATCTGAGTCATGACATTAGACAATAATCACATAGAAGCCCATGTTGAGTGTGAAGAGTTTCAGGATGAAATTTCCTTTGACAAAAAAGGAGGCAGAATGATGATAAGCCCCTGAAATGGCTGAGATTGTTTTTCTCAAGCATTGGGGCCCTTTTCCTTTCTATGATGTAACAAGGGCTACAAAAAGTCTACGTTTGATGGTGTGGGTTGACAAATATAATCTCTTTCTCCTGGTTGTCTTAAAAATTAATACATTATTATGTTTGAAAGCTTTGATTGGGGGCATATTTCAGACTTTCAGAGGTTCCTGGGTTGAAGATGTTTATTCAAATATTGCACCTTACTGGTTCCAGGTCAAACTGGAGAACAAAGAAATGAAAATAATAAAGTTAACTAAATAAAAGTTAACTCCATTCTTTCAAAACTGCTTTTTAAACACTTCTCCATTTAAATTTTCACTCCCACCTTCACCCGCACTTTTAGTTCCAGATCCAGATGAAGACAACGGTGTCTTCAGGTCTTATGCCTGAATATCAAAGTTCAAATCTTTTCCTTTCCTTCAAATCTTTTTCTCTTTACTGATGATCTAAATATTTTCCCTTGCCTTAAATTATCCAAAGATCATAAGCTTCCTTGTCACATTTCCTGAGGTGAATTCCCTCCTCAACACATGAATAAGACAAGATTTATTTAATTTTTCCTTCGTGGTATTTGAGGTTTATATTCCCTTTCAATTTTTTACTTCATTTTGCAATTCCACTTTTTCTACAGTTTCAAAGGAGTCTGATGTGTGAGGCAAAATTTCTGGGACATCCAGCAGTTTGAGCTTTTTTTTCCATTTAGAAACTGTCTTTTTTCCCCCTTCAGGATTGATTTCTTTGTCACAAGTTGCCGCTTGGTGTTCCCAATTATTCTTAGGCTCCCAGAACCAATAATTTGAGAAAGACAGGTGTATATATATTGTAATATAGAAATAAAAAGCACTAGAAATCTAAATTTTTCTGGCTTGGCTTCCCTGCTTGTGTCCCTTCAGGCTAGAGTTTGCAAGAACCAGAAGACAAAAGTTGTGTTTCCAAGAGACTCATGGTCTTCATTTCTGAGAGGATTTGAGCAATCTCCAATCTCTGCCAAGCCTTCAGGGAGACTATTCTTGAGGGGAACGAGTTTAAATCCTCCAGAGAGATTTTCTCCATCACCACAGACGGTTGCTGGAGAGAAAGATGGAGGAACTGCCGCCTCTGGAGATCCCGAAGCCTTTCTCTGACAGAAAGGAGTCTCCTCCTCTCATATCCGTCATCCCTCCACTCCCGCCCAGATTCGTTCCGCTTTCCTTGCAGGAGGGAACTGAGCATGCGCGCGGATTCTTCCCGCGGGAGCAAAGCACGTGTTTCCCGGAGCGCGCCGCTCGTCCGAAGAGACGTGCGGGGAGAGGTATCCGTCTTTCTGCTTCCTCCCTCTGCTGTGAGTGAGAGGTGGGGCCCTTGCGGGAGGCTCAGAGGTTGCCGGGGAGCCTTTGCGGAGATGTGGATCCCAACGTGACTCCCGAGTTCCGTGAGTGACGGCTCTGCCCGTGCAAAGGGGTCCAGCGCTGGAGGGGTGCGTGGAGACGGGCCAAGTCAACCTCGGGGCTCGGAGTCCGGGACCCCATGTTCCCCTGCCGCCCATTCCTAGAAAGGAGCCAGGCGAGAGGAAAAGAGGGAGCCTCAGCGTGGGGGCAGGCTGGACGGAAGTCCTTTTGCTGGCTCTGGGTGCAAAGACGGCTCCCCTGTTCGAGGACTGGAACTGGGGTGCTGCTTCCCAGCCCTTCCCCACGACCGCAAAGGGGCTCTGCCGGCAAACAAAGGAAGAGTTTGCAGGGACGGAGATGCAGCATTCGCACTGTGTGTCCGATTAGACCAATGTTTCTCAAACTTCTTTAACGTCTGGGAGTCGAAGGCCACCCGTCTTAATTTGCCAATGTTCGAAAAAGTGTGGATTAGGCTAAGAAGTGGGAAACGTGAATCAGAAAATAATTGCGTGAATCAGAAAATAATGTTAGGCTGTAAGTGGTTTATTCATTCGAATGTTAATCCTCTATGTGCTGCATGGTGGCTTGTTCATTCAGGCTTCTCAGTTCTCAAAAAGGATTTTGAGCCGGATGATGAATGGGATTCTGCTGGATAAAGTTTTACTATTCGTTCAAATGTTGATATATTTCCTTATGAAATCGATTTATATAGCAATAGCACTTAGACTTATATACCGTTTTATAGTGCTTTATAGTCCTCTAACCTGTTTACAGAGTCAGCATATTGCCCCCAACAATTTGGGTCCTCATTTTACCACCTTGGAAGGATGGAAGGCTGAGTCATCTTGATTGCTATTTGCGACCTAAGACATTGAAAGAAGTGTTCTTAATTTCCTATGTGGTCATAGAAATTATTAGAATAAATAACTAGGAAATAGAAATCCAAAACCTGTTTTAAATGTATTTCACCACTGTTTTGTGTTCTTGATGGAATAGAATAGAATTCTTTATTGGCCAAATGTGATTGGACACACAAGGAATTTGTCTTGGTGCAAATGCTTTCAGTACAATAAAAGAAAATAGAAGTTCATTGATAGAAATTCATTGTCGGTTCTCTTGAATATCCTCCAGATGCAGAGAAGTCAACCTTCCTAATAAGATACCCCACTTTCTTCCCTGACATAGTGCTTTCATAAGATTGTCTTGTTATTTATTTATTTTTTTGCTTTTAGGATGGATTCTCAGTTAAATTATTCACTCTGTTTTTCTGGATCTTTGGTTTTCCATTTTTGATATATAACTTCACATTTCCTTTGGAATACAACAACAAAAACTAGGGTCAGACCCTCCCCAGTTAACCAGGACTTCATCTTAAAGATGTGTTCTTTCAATCTTTCAATCCTGTGTTTCATGTAACCTTTTCCCGTAAAGTTAGTTAAACTAATTTGGCATCTGGGCAAATTGTGTGAAGCTGCCTTTCTGTTATAGTATGACTTGGTTCCAAAAAGCAAGTACTGAAAAACAAAAAGTGAGCCAGGGTCATTTCCTTGGAATTTCATTTGATGTGAACTCAACCTTCATGCCATGAAGAATGTTGTTCCTACTCAGGATCATTTCACTCAGTACTATCCCGTATTTTTTCCTTTTCCTCCCTGAGGACCCTGACAAAATGTACATTTCTCTTTCTTAGGAGAAGCCATTTTTGGAACTTCCTCCTCTATGACTTCAGGTACTTAAAAACATACAAACTCAAAGACAAGAGTGAGGAACATCCTTAATGGCTAATTCCTAAATGTCTCAATATGAAGCACAAAAGATGTGTAAGAATTTGCTACTCCTCAGTCAGTATTTGGGAAGACATTCTGTAATTAGATATATCAGCTCTTTTTATTATAATTTTATTAAATATTTTTTTCAGAATAAAAACAATACACATTTTGAAGAGGAAATAATCCAAAGTAAGGTGATAAATGAACAAGAAAAAAGACTAATTAAACAAGGAAAGAAAAAATAGAGACAAAATAATACTTTATTTTTGCTTTCTAAGGTTACAGAGTTGTTTTCTCCTTTATATAATTTGCCCTTTTTAATAGTTAAATACAAGTTTAATTACAAGTTTATTTCTCTTTTTTTAGCATGGCGAGTTGACTGTGTCAAGAAGGCCGTCATCGTGAGTTGCTCTTCTCATTTCAACATGTGAGATGGATGATACTGTTATAAGCAAGAGAGGAAGAGAAAAGTTTGTTTCTGATGGGTACCTCTCCGTATTTGATAAGTTGAGTGA